GCATTGCAGCTGATCTGCACCAGCTCCTCTGGCCTAAGAGGAGTGCGCAGTGCCTCCGCCTCACAAAGGATCCTGGAACTGTCTCGTCTTCCCTGGGAGGAAACTGAGACTCAGGTGAAAAATCTTGTTCCCAGTCCTGGTGGGAAGTGGACCCCAGTTCTTCCTTCTCCAGCCAGCCCTGCCTGAACAGGGCCCTTTGTCAGGAATGTTCTCTGGGAAAAAAAAAAAATGAATCTTTTGTTTAGCAGATTTCTAAACATCAGGTACTAGGAAGTTGAAGGTACACAAGTAGGGCAATCAATAGAAAGCAAAGCTGTGGCTCTGGAAAGCGCAGGCAGGGTCCGGATGTGATCCTGGTGCTTCCAGGGTCTGTCTTTGTGTGTCCTTGTTCCATTTCTCTCTCTGCATGTGGCCTTTCCGGACCCCATCACCCCCATAAAACATCCTCTGCTTCTTGCCATGGAAGAAGGGACTAGGAACAACATCCATGGAGCAGTACAATCTCCCCATGGGATCAGAAGATGGGATTCCAGCCCAAGGTCCCTTTGCTCTGAACCTTGAGCGGGGGACACAAGGTCTTCCCCACCTGGAGGGCACAAGGGGTCATGGGTGAACTTTCCCCACTCTACCTAAGTAAGACCATGAAATCCCTCTAGGGGTGTGAGCAAGGCACATGGCTATAAAAACGCACACTCTGAAGGAATTTAATAATTTAATTGGTTAGGGTAAGCATGCCTTTGTTTTCTAGATAAAGTTGTTTCCAAAACAATGTGGCTGTTCCTACTCCCAGTTCTTCAGAAGTATTGTCAGAATCCTAATAAGGTATAGGAAAAATTCCTTGCAGGCATTTAATATGCTTAGTGAACTATGGACAAAGTATTTGGTCCAGGCATGTGGGTGGAATTAATCTTTAATGTTAGCATCATTGAAGTATCCACAGGTCAACAAAACAATACTTTTTAGTTTGTAGTAGATAAGTTGTTTTCTGGGAAATTCTCAGTAGCATCTCAATTAACCACAACTTAATAGAAGTCATTTTATAGCTAGTACAAAACTCCCTTCTTCCCCTCAACACTTTGTTTTTACTGTTCAAATAAAAAATAATTATACAAAAGTAGGCTTTTAAAACAAAGCACATATGTGAATAGTTTTTGGAGCTCAGACAATATTCATCCCAGTCTCCACAGCTTTACCTTATTTATGTCGACCTTGCTATATGTGACAAAACCAAAAATGATGAACCAGAAATGATGAGCCCATTTTCTGTAAATATCATGGTTTGCTCAAGTGTTGTCACAAACTTGCACATATAAGCAAGAAGGCAGTTCTATTTACTTCTTACCTACTTACTTTGAAGACTGAGGGTGTAAGAATCAACAGGATGGCTTTTCTTATATAAATGTCAAAAATTAGGAGATAAAACTTGTGTATTTTTCTTGTTTGTCGTTTACATGTTATTGCATAGGAAGGTGAATAGAGAATGGACGCAATGGGTGTACTTATCAAAACTGATATTATTATGGCAACTTGATGTCATTGAAATTACCATATTAATAGGCAAGGGAGGGAGAGGAGGGGAGGTTCACAGGATTGGACAGGGGCGTAGGGGGAAGTAAGGARGGATGGAATGGGAAAGACAGGAGAATGACATTATATAACTTTCCTATGTTCATTATGAATACAAGATCAGTATAACTCCACATCATGTACAACCACAATAACGAGAAGTTACGCTCCAAGTATGTATATCATAATACATTCTATTGTCATATACAACTAAAAAGAACAATTCAAGAAAAAAAAGAAATTACAGTATTAGTTTTCTGTCTTAGAAATGTGTATATTATCGAGACTTTTATGTTTAGAGAAAATAATTCCAAGGTTACAAAACACCAAGTTAAAAATAAATCCTCACTCCATTTACAACTTATAAATCCATTTATAAGTTAGAGACAGTTCCTTTTATTTTAAGGCAAATAAGTTGACCAATACAATTTGGAAGGATTTTAAACATTGACAATGTAAAGAACTCTACAGCAATTCTACTTTAACCCGAAATTCCTATTCTTAGGACTGTTTTCCTGAATATCCAGTTCTATATAAATTGATGACCTTAACTTAAAAGTTACAACATGGAAACTTTGAGATCTTCAGCTTACATCAACGTWTTATGCCTTATTTTGAATGACATCTTTTGCTAAAGCCCACTATTAAGCAGGGCTGGATTATGTGATCCAGAGTTTAGCTAAGGAAACTGTTTTCACTCTGAAGTGAACAAATATAAGTGGGATGACAGTTTCCCACAGCTTTACCCTTTGGCCCAAATAGATAATGCTTATGCTTCTAAGTCACTTCCCTTCAGTGTGGACTGCTATTTTAACTCAGTTATTTATCTGCCCGTGTTTGTACAGCTGGGCCTGTGTTCATACATCCTTTGTGACTCTGTCCACTGATTGAGGCTGTTTCAGATTTAGATTTAATCTCTATCAGGCTATGAATGTAATTTGTTTAAATCACTGTATAATCAACATTTAATATGTTCTATTTGATTATTATAGCATTTCCATATAGTTATGTGATTTAAATATTTTGTGAATATTAAACATATTTACAAATAAATCGCCTTTAAAACACACAATTTGGGCCCCTGTTCATCCAAGCCCAAGGTACAGATGAATGGTGAAGAAACTTTGATCTTTGTGGCCCAAAATATTGAGACAAGAAATACTAGGACTCATTCTCCACTATAATTGTTCCTGATATCCTGTTTTCATGATTTAGTAATATTAACCCAAATGTTTCTCTCTGGCTCCAGCCTCAAGTGTCATACTATGAAGAACAATCTTATTGGGGTTGGGGAATGTGTAGCCAGAGCTGAAAAGAAAAATACCAAGACACCAGAAGACAAGTTGTCCTGCATTTAGGTGCCGTAATATACAAATATAGATAAAAACCTTCATTCTCTGGAGTTTTTATGTCCTGTATGATGGTCATCAGCTATTGGCTACATGTAGCTACTGAGCACTTGAAACGTGGACAGTCTGAACTGAGATGAGCTGTCTCTGTAAAATCACACTGAATTTTGAGATTTTTGTACAAAATAAAGAATGCAAAATTTTTATATTGAATACATGTTAAAATATTTTAAGAGCTTCTGGTTAAGTAAAATAGATTAAAGTTTTGTTTTGTTTTGTTTTTTTGACTTTTTAAAAATGTGGCCTCTAGACAATTAAAGTTACATGTGAGGCATGCATTGTGCTTCTTCTTTGRACAGCACGGAGGGAACAACATGGAGCACTGAGGACCCAAAGCAGAAGCAGAATGAGGCCCACTCCAGTGAGCTCACTTGAGATAGATTTATTCAAGGGTAGAAAAATTGTAATTTCCCCTCCATTTAGATGCTATTCCTCTCTCAAATTCATTTTTCTCCGATTCATTTGGGCTGAGTTAAATAGCATCTTCTGTGATCCCATTGTATATAGATTTCTGATTTATACGTGTGTGTTCAGCTGAGTAATTTAAGGATAATAGAAATGCTAGCTATGATCATCATCACCACAATAGCTTATGATTCTGTAGCACTAGGTGCACTTAAGCCCCTCCAAAGTACTTTCCATAATACTTCATTTAATCCTTTAATAAGTCAACAGCTGGATGACTTATTCCACTTGAACAGATGTCAAYTTGGACTCAGAGAGACCAAGTCAGTGGCTCAAGGTGATACAAGTAGACACTGACTTAGACCATCAGTCCCCAAATCTACCCTTGACCATGAAACAGTACACAGCATCTTGTTTTGGCTTTCATAGTGCATTACTATACCTGCCTCTGTATACAATAGCATGAGTCCTTTCTGCTAAACATAGAGGTTTTAATTTAATAAAAGTAATTATATTATATAATTATATTAATTATAATAATTGATAATTTAAATCTAAAAGAACTCAAAATGTTTACTCTATCAGAAATGGGAGGCCTACAATTAGTTTGTGGATGATCCAACTCTTTGTTTTACCTTATAGTTGCTCAAAAAAGTATATTTTAGGTCAGTATTCCTGAAAATATAGATGGCCTAATTCCAATTAATTACCTAATGAAGGAGTCCAGAGAATATCCCCTCCAAATAAAAGACACTAGCATGTGGATTATTTTGAATTAAAGACACTTGGGAATCAGCAGATGCTGGGAAAATACTTTTCTCGGATACTCCCTTATCTACCTAGAGACCTGACCTGCCTAAGGTGAACACAATTGAGTTAGGTCCACGTCCTGAAATTCCATCAACCAGAGAAAGTTAGATTCATGTTGCAGGAAAGGAGACCAGGAAGGTCATCACACCTGGGCAGACTTGTTGCAAGCTATTGTCTGCTCCTTGATCTCGTTCAGTTTGCAAAGAACCATTCACAAATCCCTGTCTGGTCTCAGGGCCCATTCCTTCTTCCCAACAGTCATTTACTACCCCTCAAAAATGGTGTACATTTCTATCTCCTCTCCCCTGTGAGGAAGGGCATCTGAACCCCTGTGTTATTGGCATTTACCCTCCTAGAGAGCCCGTGAGCCTGGAAATGGAAACGCGTGTGGCTTTTTCTCCCTTTAACCTGCCTATTATCCTTCACGTCAGTGAGCCTTCAGAGCAAGGGGAGCAAATTCCCCTTTACCCCACCACTGCTGTGTGCCCAGTAGGAGATCCAGAGGTCGAGATGCCAGCTCTCTGTTCTAGTGGACCAAAGACGGTGTATGAGGACTGTGGGTCTGCAGTGGGGAAGGAACAAAGAGGAGGCACATCCAACAAATTTAGGGGTAGAAGGWGGAGATGTAGACTTTTTAAAAAATCTTCCAAGAGGAGAGCACTTGATTCATCTTAAAATCTCTCACACTGATTTTCTTAGCTCTTATTTTTTGGCCGTATGAAGGCCATTGCTAAAGGTGCCCACCAACTATGGATGGTGTCAGTACTTTGGGTTGCTGAGAACACGCTAACCCATTGCTGTGATTTTCAGGCACCAGCAAGGTCAACCTTGTGAAGATCGCGTCCACGGCTTCCAGCCCTCGGGACACAGCCCTGGCTGCGGTCATCTGCAGTGCTCTGGCCACTGTGCTGCTGGCCCTCCTCATCCTGTGTGTCATCTACTGTAAGAGACAGTTCATGGAGAAGAAACCCAGTTGTAAGTTCCTAACTCTTTATATTTCCTTATCGTTATTAATTATCATTGTCATCCAAGGGTTTGACAAGAGCGGTGGCAAAGGCAAGCATCAGTAGTTGCTGAAGGATAGTGAGCACATGAAAATGGACCTCACCAGGGATGGCACAACTTTATGACAACACTGACAAGGCTGGGGTGTCCCTGTGCCACAAGGCAAATATTAAAATTGTCCTGAGATTTGGCAACATAAACACCCTAAATTCTGAGCTTTCTTAACCAATCAGTTCATATTTGTGTATCAGAAGAARTAGTCCTTGAGCTTACCTGATTCAACTTAACAGATTTTTGACTGTACAGTGTCATGAAAGCATGCCCACACAAGAGCTATGTTCAGCACAGCATTCTAAATTATATGGGATATTCAACACTTTACTATCCATATGCTTTGTGCTAGATGATTCTGCCAGACTGTAGGCTGCCGGAAGTGTTCTGAGCACATTTCAGGTAGGCTAGGCATGCTATAATGTTTAGGAGCTTAGTTGTATTAAGTGCATTTAAACATCTTCAACTTTCAATGGGGTTTTCAGGTGAAAATTGGTTTCTTACTTGGGCAAATGTGGGCAAAGGTGATACCAACTTTCTCTGTCACTTGAATTCATCAGCAAAATGATTCTATCACTACAGGTCCCATGCAAAGTCRAGCAGGATCTGTAATCAAAAATTGCAGTGATAGCGGACTTTTTCTCTAAAAATACAAAAGCTAGCATGGTTCCAGTCTGGGTTATGGTGTTAATGGAACTCCCTTATAGAGGAAATTCTGTTCACTGATAGAATTGTCACTCCTGCCTTTAGGGTCTCTGAGACCACAGGATATTCAGTACAATGGCTCTGAACTGTCCTGCTTTGACAGACCTCAGCTCAGYGAATATGCTCACAGAGCATGTTGCCAGTGCCACCAGGATTCTGCCCAGACCTACGGTAAGTTCAACCACAAAGGGCCTGTCAGACAGCCGGTGGAAGGCAGAGTTTGAAACTGCAAAGCATTGTCCATATGGGTCTCACTGTGAGGTGGCTGRGCTCAGTTTTCTAGTTATAGTTAATCTTGTTAAATCATTCTCCACTGTCTCTTGTTGGTTGGGGTGTGTCAGATCTCTTCACGATTAAAAAGAAAATAAAGCCAGGGGCAGTGGCACATACCTGTAATCCCAGAGACTCCAGAGGCCGAGGCAGGAAGATCGTAATCTTGAGGCCAGAGTCAGCAAYTTAACAAGAGCCTATGAAATTAAAAAGGCTGGGGGTGTTCTCAGTGATAGAATGCCCATGGGTTTAACTCCCTAAGTACATAAGCAAGCCAAGAAAGTCAGCGTCTCATTGAAACCCTAACATTKTTCAGCAACTTTCTAGGGCAAGATTGCCTTTCCTTTTCTGAGTCAGGTTGACTTGAAATCATGTTGACCTGATGTAGAGTAGAAGTTTTTAATCCTTTATCTTGTGAATTCAAAGGAAACCTTCAAGTCAAACCACTGAACTCCATGCCCAACCCTAATGTTTCCATTTTAATGTCTTTTGTGATGTCTTAAAAGGAGCAAAGARGTCCATGTTAGAGTTTTCCTCAAACCATAATTGCTTCTCAGATTATAAACAGACATGACAGTTTAGGAAAGTGATTTAAATGGAAATCGGTTTCTCACTTGGGCAAATGGACCAAAGGTGAAACTGACTTCCTTTGCTATTTACATGTATTCATCAGCACGAGGTTTTTGCACCTTACACGTCCCATTCCAGTCCCCACCAAATGATCTCACTACTCTACAAATGAAAATTGCATGTGACCAACAGCCCTCCCTGAGTCCATCCTAGCTTCCCTTCTCTCCCTAACTGCATTTCTGTTAGCACCCACAAATGCCAGGCTAAATTACACCAGCTTGTCTCTCCTAAGCACATTTTATTTGCTTTAAGTTAAATATATCCCCGTGAGGTTGGCTTGTCCTGACACTATCCAATCTTGCTTTTCAAAAAATTGCAGGCTGAAGTGTTTCCATCTCATAACTGATTTTTTTTTTTTCCTACTGATCATGACTATCTTCTATTTTAGGAATGGGTTAAAAAGCAAAATACAAGACTTTCTGTGATGGGTGTGGATCCAGTTTTGCCTTTGCCTATAGATAATGGGCTCTTAATGATTGACAGTAACTTTGTGGTCCCCAAACACACACAATCATTGTGTCCTCTTGAATATTTCATGGACACTGCTACTAGAATCAGAGTAAGTAGGAATAATTTCTTAAGAGATGAACTCTAATTTTAATTCAAAAGATTAATCTGTAATACAAAAGATGAAACCTACAGGTGGCCTGGTTTATACAATCTCTAAACAGAACACAGAAGATTCCTTATACCAAKGTCCAAGTTCAGTGTAGCTTGTCATCATAAGCATTTCCTCCTCATGACAGCGCCCCTTTTTTTCTTTTAACATTTTATTCTGGGGGGCTGGGGATGTGGCTCAAGCTGTAGCGCGCTCGCCTGGCATGCGTGCGGCCCGGGTTCGATCCTCAGCACCACATACCAACAAAGATGTTGTGTCCGCAGAGAACTAAAAAATAAATATTAAAAATTCTCAAAAAAAAAAAAAAATTTATTCTGACTTAAGTTCTGACATATAAACATTGAAAGGATAGGACAAAGAATTTCTACTTATCTTTTGCCCATATTTCAAAAATATTRATATTTTTTTCTGATTTGCTTCATCTCCTCATAAATACATGTATATATGTACATACTTTTATTTGCCATCTAAATATCAGTTACATAGATGTGTGCATTTTCCCCTTAATATTTCAGTGTTTATTTCCTAAGGACAAGAACATTCTCTTACATAATAGCACAAGTATTAAAATCAGGAAATGAGCACTAATGCGATGCTGTTTCACAATCTACAGAGCATATTCGGTTTTCTTATCTATCCAATAATGTCCTTCATGGCAAAGAAAAACAGATACCACTGCAGCATTCAGTTGTCAAGTTTCTTTGGTCTCTTTTAAGCTGGAGTTTTTCCTGAGTCTTTCTTTGTGTTTCATGGCATTGATGTTTTTGAAAAGTACAGRCCAGTCAGTAGTTTTGCAGGGTGACCTTCAGTTTGGGTTTGTTTACTCTCGTCAGGATTAGATTCAGAAATATTGCAGAGGGAACGCCACATCCTTAGTACACTGGATCAGGAGGCACCAGAGTCCTTCTGTCACATGTCTTGGCAGGTTGACTTTGGCCACTTAGTTAAAGGGTATCTTCCAGGTTTCTCCACTGTAAAGTGATTGCTATCTTTAATTAGTAAACATATGGGGAAAGATACTTTGAGACTTGTAAATTATCCTGTTCCTACCCCGACTTTGACCCAGGAGATTAGCATCCCTGATGATTCTTACCTAAGCCAGTCATTAATAATAGTTTCTTTTTTAAATTTTTGTATTTGTTCTTTTTAGTTATACATGACAGTAGAATGTATTTTGACATGTCATACATATATGGAGTGTAACTTCCCATTTTTGTGGTTGTACATGATGTGGAATTACACTGGTATTACTAATGGCTTCTAATTCCATCATTCTTTCTACATTTACAACTTGGCTTCCTATGAAAAGAAAGAACCTTCCCTTCTCCCCCACTTATTTATTTACTTCAGTTAGTCTAGACTAAATTCTTTTTTTTTTTAAGAGAGAGAGAGAGAGAATTTTAATATTTATTTTTTTAGTTTCGGCGGACACAACATCTTTGTTTGTATGTGGTGCTGAGGATCGAACCCAGGCCGCATGCATGCCAGGCGATCGCGCTACTGCTTGAGCCACATCCCCAGCCCAATAGTTACAGATTCTTTGGAATCATTTTTAATTTTGATGTTCAAATTCTTCTAGATGTGGTCAGTAGAAGTTCCCTCAGACTGGCTCATATGCTATTTTGACATGTCCCCTTTAAATTTCTAGCACCTTATTACTTTCTGGCACAAAAAGAATTCAAGGTTCATCTTGTACTTTCTCTGAAATTAGCCATTTTTACCTGGAATGATAGTGCCTTTTGCTTTTAAGTGATTTGAAATGTCCCATAGTGAGCATGACACATTTGTTGAGTTAATTAGTGGTAGAACCAGAGCAGTCCCAGTTCCCAGTCACCATGGTGTGTTCTAATGTACCATACAGAGGTCTTGCTTTGAGAGAGATTTAGATAAAGTCTACCTGGATGTCCTTCTTGTCAACAATGGTTTGCAGTTGCATCTCAATATATGAAATTAWTTTTTTGAGAGGGAAATAAATATCAATTTCATAATATTTCCCATTTATAAAAATAGATATTCCCCATGGAAAAATTTGGAACACACAAAAACAAATATAAATACATGTAGATATATATAATTTCTTCAAGTTTTTTTTTTTAACTATGTACACATGTCTTTGTATTTTTGTGCTTTGGTAACTTAATAGTTTCATAAAAATCAAAATTATACTTAAATGTGCATAGAGAGCAAGAAGTCTAGAAGGCCACTCACTAAAATGTTGGCCAAATTAATATTCCCATCTTATAGGATTGGGAAAGATTATGCTTATCTAAAAAAAATCTTTATATTTTTTAATTTTTTCCTTCTTCAGTGAACATAGTGGTTTGTGAAGCTGAGGGCACACATCTGGTTATGCTTTAACTTACATTGTCAGCAATTAAAAATAGGCATATGTGTTCATTGAGTTAAGGACTTGGAACATTTTTAGGTTCTTGTCTATATTACTACACATTCAGCAGAGGAGTTGTACTGTTTCTCCTGTCATCAGCAGTGTGTGAGAGTCTCATTTCACATGCTTTCCCATAGCCTTTTATCATTTTTTTATTATGGTAAATACATATAACACAACACTGACCATCTTAACCATTTCTAAGTGAACAGTTCAGTGGCGTAAGTACATTCACATTGCTGTGCAACCATCAGCGCCATCCACCCCCAGAACTCCCAGAACTTCCCAAGCTGAAGCTGTCTCCATTAAACACTAGTGTAATGTAGGAACCAAACCCAGCATTCTGTACAACTACAATGCACCAGTAAAATAATGTGGGGAAAAAATGAAGCCTCGTAATAAATAAATAAATATTTAAAAATTTTTCAAGTCCAAGAAAGAACAATTCAAAATATTCTAAGGAAATGAGCAACATTACAAGCTTGTTCCACAATGAAAAAAAACAAAAAAAAAAAAAACAAAAAACAAAAAAAACCTAGTGTACAGGACTGGGGCTGGGGCTCAGCTGTAGCGCACTTGCCTGGCATGTGTGAGGCACTGGGTTCGATTCTCAGCATCATGTAAAATAAATAAAGGACTATCAACAACTAAAAAAAAAATTTTTTAAATTAAAAAAAAAAACCAAGCCTACTGTACAATTCCATCCCCACAGCTCCTGGAAGCCCCTTGTCTACATATGTCCCTGTGGGTTTGACTATTCTAGGTATCTCATAGAAGTGGTTCATCTTTTTTTTTTTTTAAGATAAGGAAAAAGTTAACTTCAAGTTAACAAAGGGGAATAGCTAAATTTCCTAGAACCATGCTGAATTGGTATTAAAGAGAAAGTTCCAGAGAAAAGCACTATGCCTCATGCCTCTGCTGGCTTCCCCAGGGCCTGTCCACTTGATCCCGTCCTTGTGCTGTGATGAGGCCTGCGGCACTGACCGGCCAGCACTTGGTTGTGGGGTGCATTCCAGGGCCACCCTTCCAGAGAGGTAACAGTCATTTCAATGATTTCACCTTCCCTTGTGCATACTACATTCTTCTGACTTACTAATTTTCATGTGGAACTATAGAAACATTGCTTTTTAAATATTATTAATGGCATTCTGGATATTGGAGGGAGATAGTTCTTTGGCAAAAATTAAGGAGGTCTCTCAAGGCGCTAATAGACAATGTAATATTCTTTGTACTTTTCTCTCCACAAAATTTATTTTTGTCCTATATTATGACACCTCTGTCATCTGTAACTTCCATGTACTTACTGTGTATTCGTTTAGCATATTCATTTCCTATAGGAAATGGCATATCTCATATATTAGCTTAAGAATATTAATTAGAAATATGTATAGGAAATCAGTTTTAAAGTAAATGGAGTACTTTGAGTCCCTGTATTGATGCAACTTTGTAATAGGAAGCAGTAGAATCCTGACTTAAGAAATTGCTATTTCATTTAGAAGACTTAAAATCATAGCTGAAATGCTGCTTTGTAGTAGTGTTCTTTCTCACCGTGAAATTTAAAGATCCTTTGAACATGTGTTCAGAAACGCAGTTCCAGTGGGGGAGACCATGCCAACTTTCTTCGGGTCCCTTTCAAGGTCCCTGTGTGGCGAGTTTTCCGATGCCTGGCCTCTGATGCAGAATCCCATGGGTGGCGACGACATCTCTTTTTGTGATTCTTATCCTGAACTCAATGGAGAAGAAATTGATTCTCTCAATCCAGAAAACAAAAGCTCAACATCTTTGGATTCAAACAGTTGTCAAGATCTGGTTGGTGGAGCTGTTTCAATTCAAGCTCATTCTGGAAACTTCACAGAAACTGCTGATTTATCTAGATACAAGGAGACAGTGGCAGAGTCAGCGCTAACTCAGGAAGCACTAAGTACTGGAAGCCAGCTGGATCTGGAGGGTGGAGATACTGTGCACCCCACCACTCCCACATCCCTCCAGGTAAGGCAGTGTTGAACTTCAGCCTGAGTGCAGTGTTGACTTGTGGCCGACCCGAGGGAGGGGAACGGAACTCCCTGCAGTGAACAGTGGGCTAGCCTGGGCTGTGGATGTCCCTCAATGGAAGGGCACTTGCCTAGCAGGCATAATGTTCGGGATTCCATCCCCAGGGGGAATCCTGATATGGTTTCTCCATTTTTCATAATTTCACGTACATTGTAGAATATGTTTTAAAATAAATTTCAATAGTCTTTTTTTTAACTAATAGAGCTATTCTATAAGACCATAAAGGGCAGCTGCATTTTTTTTATTCTTCTTTATAAATCTGATTACTTAGTACAGTCTCCTTTACTGACTAAAGAGACAGATTAGTTACCAGAGCATCTTGCAAACAATTCCAGACCTTCATTTTCTAAATATATTCTTATGGCCAATCTTCAGTGCACTTCACTCACTGTCAGGGTGATCAAAATTTAGTTCTAAAACTACTCCTCCCCTGTTCCCTATTGTTTACTGGATTGTTCAACTTTGGGCAATTTATTGATTTGGTTGAATACTGATTGGTGGTTGTGATCTAGAGGCAAATGCATCATAAGATTCTCCCATGTAGAACATTTTAAAATCAGGTTTAGGGGCAAGAGGGGGAGTGGTGGCCAGTGCAGATAGATGGGGGCTGGTACCCTGCAGTGCTGGGGCAGGAAGGATTCTGGTAGAACTGGCACCACCTCTGCTTTCTCCTCCAGGTGATAGGGACTTTGCTGAATTTGACTTGATGCTTCTGTATGTTTCCTTAAATGGAAGTGCCTGCATTATCAGCATAAGTTTTGGAATGAGGTCAGCTTGAGTAGAAAGGGCTAGTCCCAGCTGTGCCATCAGCTCTCAGGGCCTAAAATACCTTGCCCTGCACCGCAGCCTTGCTGCTCTCACTGTTTGGTCCTTGGTGCATCAAGTCCAGGGTTTCAGGCCTGAGCAAGCAGTAAAAAACATACTGCACATGCTGCGAAGTGTGGCCTCAGCTTCCGGGAGACTTCATATCCTTGTCCACTTATATCAAAAACTTAGCCCAAAGTCAACATGATGTAAATGTGTTCCTTTTTAGGATCACTACATAGATAACAACTTTTCTTTTAAACTACAAGGAAATTTGCTAGAGGGTTCTATGCAGCAAACATTTTTTAGCTTTGAAGGGAAAACACTGTTGTTCTTAGTCTCAAAATGTGGAAAATGGAGAAGAGATAAATAAACAAAGAAAAAACAGATTGGCCAATTTAAAAATGTAAACTACATTCATCTGAACTCTACTTGTGGTTAGGGAAGGTTACTTACTGATCCTGTTTTTTTGAGTCACCCCATAATTTATATAGCTTTCATGATGATAAATAAGAAAAGGGTTAAGAATTTAGAATGGATTGTGCCCCACAAAACTTAGGGACTGAGAAGGCCCAGCAGCCTCCAGCAGGTAACAAGTCCTACCATCCAGGGAAGGGAGGGTGCAGCAAAACAGGTGGAGGCGAGTCCCACCCTTGAGCAACAAAGCCCTGGATGCCCTGCCAGCTACCCCAGTGAGTTACCTTCCCCCAGGCCTGTTGCACCCTCTGTGTGTCCATTGTCATGGAAAAGTCTGAGTAAGGAGGATTATCAGCTCCCAACTGACTAACCAGGGTTTTGCAGAGTCTTGTCAGTCAAGAGAATTAGTTAGCATCATCCTCAATCTTGTAGTTTGTCCCCTGGTTCATTACGTAAATCGCTAAGAGGGGGGAATAAAACAAACACTAAGTCTTATCTGAACCAACTCATGGTCCACCTTCTTCTGTTTGTGGTGTTGGAGGATTGGGGATATGGCTTGTAAGCACTGCTACCACAGCTTTATGAATGTGAATTTGAGAAACATATTTTAATACATAAGATTGGCACAGGTGACATTAATTCCCTTTCAGAAAAGTCCARGAAATGGTCAGTAAAGATACTTTCAACTCCAATTATTATGAATTGAAAAGAAAGCTGTAATCACATCTAAAATGAACCTGCTGAGAAAATGTTACTATTCTATTGCATAACATGATTTATTAACAGCTGTTAATAATTTTTCAAGATGTGTTACCTTACAATTATTAGATCACATAGGTAAACCTAAGTTTGACATTCTGAATTTAGAAAAGAATTATTAAAATGTAAACCTTTTTGATTTCCCCCCTACAATAAAAAACAGTAAGTAATAGTTCAAGTCCACTTTATTTATGTGTGTAAGGGGGTTCTGGGAATGAAACCCCCTGAGCTATACCCCCAGCCCTGAGCCCATTTTAAGAGATAATCTTTTCCAGATTCTAAAAAGCATTTTCCATTTAGTTGCATTTACTGAATCCATGAAGTATACTGAACAAACCCTAATCTTCCAAGGAAAATAGAGGCAGCAACAGCTGTAAACCTTCAGAAGCTAGGCCTCTTTACTTTAGGGTTCAGCCAGGTGTTTAACTCAATTAGTTTTTTCTTGTTGTTGTTTTGTTTTCTAAAATACAAAATCTTAAAAAGCAATCACATTTCTCCTAACAGGTTCAATTTTCCAAGACAGAGGACACATTTCATAAAGAATTTGATTTCAGCAGCTTATTACTAGGAACACACAGGATTTCTAGTTAATTCTACCCATTCCTTGGTTCATTTTAAGTTAGGTCATATTTATAATATGGGCTCATTCAGAATTCCAGAAGGCACTGTATTTCTGGATGTGAGTCTGTGATTTCTAGTGCAAGATAGGTTTGTTTCCAAAAACAGTAGTTTTCTTGTGAGTGGTTTAAGACCACCCAGAATTTGATGATGATAGTTACGGTTCAGGATAAAGCAAATACATTTTGAGAGCCTTCTTTAGTCTATATGACTCAATTTTAATCAAKTTTCCTTATAAATTTCTCCCCCAGAGGGGAACAGAACTGAGGCATATAGTACATCATTTGCTGAGATATTTGGGAGAATGAAGCCAGTGTGTTAGCTTACAGGCAAAGCTTTTCTTGATGTTAATTTTTAAACATCATCTTAAATGTGAGCCTAAAGCAACAAAAAGAAGTTTAGAAAAGATATGAGGACACCAGGATTCTAGTCCTTCAGTCTACTGAAATCTACTTTTTCCACATAGGCAAACTGAGGATAATTTGCCTTTTGCAGTAGAGTTAATGTGGTTATTATGATGAGGTCTATTAACCAACACATTTGATTAAATAACCTCCTAGTATTCAAAAGAACATCAGGAGCTTTTATTCTAGTTGTATCTCTTAAGATCTAAAAAAAACTTTTCTACAAACTTATGTAGGTCACTGATGCTAATTAATGGTAAATAAGTCAGTGAAGGGTTAATGAGGGAGAGAAGGTTCCACTCCCTTTTGGTCACATTCCGATGGCTGAAGCTCCTCCCTTCCTGAAGTGAGGTCGGTGCCTTTCCTGATAAGGACAAATTAAATGGCTCCCCTTCACTGAGGATATTTGTCCTGTGATGATTGTGATATTCCAGGAATATCTGATAAGAACAATTTCATTCCCTATTTCTATACCTTCTCCTATAGTGGGGTGGAAGTCTTGAACTCAGAGACTAAGTTGACAGATAAAGAATGGCTCTATTCATTGATCATTTTTGTTCTTGGAAAGAAGGGCATGAAGAACCCTGAGATCTTTACCTATCAATGCTCTAAAGGAGCCAGCACTGAAGAAACAGGATTTCAATGATTGGAAGAGGTTGGAAATCAGCAAAAACATTGTTTATTCATTGTGATCACTGTGGGTTACATTAACATCTTTTAAGTAATCTTGGCAAAGATTGAGTGACCGTGCGTTGTTATGGAAACCTCAATTTCATTATCAGGAGTATATGGGTTCCTGGATATTACTGAATGAATTTCTTGTCCATGCATTATTAAATTCATGGTAACTGCTAGTAAAAACCATGCATAGTCCTCTTGTATTAGAGTTTAGCAGCTTGAAGGGATTGTTTTTAAAGCTCGTCTTCTCTCACTGTTTTAGGAAGCCTAAAGGCCCTTCTTCTTCCTGCAGTGGAACTGTGTGTCTGGAACCCAAAGGGCACCGCTCTGTTAGGCTTATGGACTGAGCAGTCTGGACCCTGCACAGCTTCTGGAGAAAAAGGAAATCTGAACCAAACTGATGGCATTTTAAGCCTTTCAACTAGTTGCTTCTGAGCCAGACCAGCTGTAAGCCGAAACCTCAATGAGAAGCAAGGAGATCCTCTAGGCAGACTATTTGCATCTTTCCTAAACCAGAAGTTTCCAGTCTTCAAGAACAACTTCAAAGACTGGTGGGTTGAGAGTAGCCTATGAGATGATGGACACATAGCAAGATACAGCCAGGTGTTCATGCTCATTTTCATGGTGAATGTGGTCTAACAAGGCTGAAGACCTGGAGTATCCATTGTCACTGACATTTTCTTTCCAGGAATAGTCTCATTTAGTCTGTTATCCCGCTAAAAGTACATGTCAGATTCTTAATATTAGTTTTTATGTAGAATGGGTTTGAAATTTAGTGTTTCTGTTGAATAAGGTAACTTCTTCATCGTCCCAAACTGGCTGGCTTAGGTGGTTACATCGACTTTGTGCCACCTGTCTGAACCTTGGCTTTATTAAAGGCAGTTAACTGACCAGGAATCGGAGAACACCTCTTTTCCAGAATCTCACTTCTAACCTCAGGCTCTATCACATCGACACCTTCTGGTGCTGGTAGGAGTTGGAACCTGAGTTACTGTGGGCAGCAGAGGGTGGCCCATCACCCTGGCATCAAAACCACTTGACGTGCATATCCTAGAGACTTGGATGCACAAGTTAAATTCATTAATATTCATGTTCAATTAGTTGATATGGAAGCACTTGTCACATCTGTCTCTATGCCTGAGCTGAGACGGTACAGGATTTCTTTTATGAAAAGGAGATATTTATAAACATGGTGATCTCTTATTTGTATTGTATCTTATACTAAAGGTTTTGGGGATCTCAGCATATCAGGTTCCCCCTGCTACTGAAGTCATCTTCCATGAGAATATGCTACACTACATAGTAGAAGAAAAAGTAGAAAAGTCTGTAAGAGGCACAGTGTGGTGTGACCAGAACTCTGCGGCTGTCCCTCTAATATTACTTATGAGATTACACAGCACATAATCTCCTGTATTAGCCAGATGATATGGAATTGAGAAGTCTGGTGCTTCTGTCGGGGTGCTCCATCTTCTATCACCTTAGGATTTACAAACGATCATTGTCTCCAGGACTAAGAAAGAAATGAAACCAGTTCAGTCATGAAGCAGGGGATAGCTCATTTGCTCTTCATCTTAAGTAGAAAGGGATTTAATTGAGCAGGATTTTTTTTTTTTCCCTCTGAAAGATTCATGATCAGAGCTGGCCTTTGTCTTTTAACTGCTCCTTCCTATTAGCTGTCACATTTACACTTAAACAATAAATAAACCTTTGAACATCAGTGTGTTAGAGGGCTTTAAAATATTTGTTTGGGCTCATATTAAGTGTCTTTTACCTAACATTTAAATTAAACATTAAAATTAATCTGTCTTTTCTAGGTCATTTTTATTACCCCAACATTTTCTTTCTTTCTAAGACATTAGTAAAATTTAACAAGCCCTCTTCCTTGTGGCCATTTCTGTATTCATAGTTTTAGGTTCTGACATGGGTATACTAGCTGTCTGTGTCTGTTTCTGCTCATGACTTCAGTTCTTTTTTCCAAAATAGAAAATCACAATGTCTCATGATAACCCCCATTTATTCATGTTTAYGTAGTGCCTGGTCATAACCAATGGACTCTCTTTTTTTTGTTTCCTGTTTTAGTGGAAGCTAGTCGTTCTTAAACTTTGGTAATCATCAACTCTTATGAAAATTGCCCTTAGGTAATTCTAATAAAATATTTAGGATTTGGCCACAAGACATCTACGAAAATGCAAGTCCAATTTTCCTTGAGTGGCTTCCTGTATTTCACAGAAGTATGCCATTGTTTGCAATCCGATCATCTCTGTTATGACAGGGATGATCAAAGTAGGCAGGGTTGTGTTCCTTTGTGTAACCTGAATATATTTTCCATATGGAGAGTCCTGATTAACTTCAAAGACAGATGCTTGCTGAAGAAAGCCAGACTGATGGGAAAGAGACTTTGGCCCCAAATCCCAAAACATCACTTTTGATCAGTAGAGAGAGAGGCTTAGGGTTGAAAATGGATTTCATTTGATTCTACCTTCGAAAAGTCCTGGGTTATTTTTATCAAGATGAAGACATCTGACACCACTTACTCTAGAAACAGATTATGTTATATTTTACACTCTTTGTAAACAATTGAGGAAAAAATTCTATTTGTATCTGACAGTGTTGGAATATCCTACAACTTTCAATAAGCTCAGCTGCTGGAGGCAGGAAATCTACATGGAGAAACACGGTCCAGCGGGCATCATCGCTGTGTTCCATGCTGTGGAAACTCATGACAAGAATGAGACAAGGGTTTCAAGCACAACCAAGTCAAGTCATGGGTTTTCTAGTTTTGTGTCTATGGAATATATTTTTTAAATACTCTACTTTAGATCAGGTGTTGCTATTAGGTTAAGCACTGCTGTCAGTGCTAGTAAAGAAAAAGAAAAAAACCATCATGGCTTTAAGATAGTTTGAATAAATTTAGATTTCATTACTGTTTTGCAAACTAGAATTTATAAATTTGTAAATTATCATTTTCCTATACAAATAGTTTTGTAAGACTTTTTTATTTGTGAATAAAATCAATACTTGTTGTTCTTATGTATGTGTCCAGTAAGAAAATCATTGGTTTTGTGGATACAGGTATATTTTTAAATTTCTTACCAGAAGTCCACTTGAGGGTTGTGCAAAGTCCTGTTCCTTCAGAGAAAACCCTCTTTGGTCTCCCAAACTTTAAGAGGGTGGATGCCACAAAATCCTTAGTAAGTTTCCTTGTGATATTTCTCAGGTATGTCAAGCTACTGAAAGATTCCCAGAATTACTTTGAGAAGTTTTTTTTCCAAGATTTTATCATGATCTTATTTTTTCTCTTCATTTTTATGACACAAAACAGTGGGAGAAAAACTTTTTAAAAAGTTTTGTGGTCCTTCATTTTGTAGGTCAGTTGGGTGTCTACCAGCCACAGAGTAGACTGAAGGAAGGAAAGAATGTCCACAGAGCCACAGTGGTCACTGCAGGAATGTCTTTTTCCTTCATGGCTCGACTTTCCTTCTTTCTCTATCTCTTCTTTCCCCTCAGCAGAGCTTGTAAGAAAGTTACTAGATTTTGAGAGAAGAGTTTACACTTCCTGAAAAAAAGGGTTATGTTCTTATTTTAAAGTGACACCCTGATGTCCCAATTGGCAAGTCTCTTGTGTTAAGTGGCACTGGGTTCCATGTGGAAAGGACACTCGTTTCCCATTATTAAGGTCTTTGCTGTTGGCGACTTGCTATTATGAGTTTGTTCCATTATAACTTGAGAAGGTAGTAAAGAATCAAAATGGCACAAATAAAAAAGTTAAATCAAGTATCATAACCAGTCAAATTATGAAAGTAACGTTTAAATTTATCAAGCCAATCATTTTCAAACTAAGTGGTGTCTTGAGAATTTCCAAAACCTTCTATCCTATCTAACAAACATCAATAAAACTTGGTTATGTGATTATATAGATATAATTATGTTGAATAAAGGAGATGGTTCACGGTAATTTTCATTCTCTCACAGTTCAGCCAAAGGAGGATCACAAGCCTTTTACTCCAAAGATTGAGCAGACCCAGTTTGGGTCATTTCATGAACTATCAGTAGCATTTAAGTCAGAGTGATTTATAGCTGCTTTCAAATTAGTCTTTCCAGAAATCTTGAATTTTAAAAACTTTGCAGCAAAAACACTTTCTCTAGATCCATGGGTGGTCTTCTGAGGTTTCAATTCTAAGTCAATAAAGACAAAGGGTTCTTTCTCTTTCTTTGAGTTTGATGGCATAAGCTATTCCTAGGTAAGAGCAAAATAGCTGTATCCTATCAGGTTTTGTTTAGGGTGAAATGTAACCAGCAGAACTAGGCAGAGGGATTTTCCTTACTTGGGTTGACTATTGACAGTAAACAGAAGATCTGCAGAACGCTCTGCTGGCCATCTCTTAATAGCAGGTTGGGAGAACAGGCGGCCACACATCAAGGCCCGAGGCACCATGTCGCTGCCTCCATCTATCAGATCTGAATCGAATCCCCTAAAGTTCTGAACACAGTCTTAACTCCTCTCAGAAGGCGCAATCTCCTAAGAGGCCTTTCCTTATGTCAATCCTCAATTCAGTCATTTAAAAGGTGTTTATATAGGAGTATAGAGTGTCTGCCAGATTCTAAATACAATGCCAGGGCTTAAGCGGATATTGCGAAATATGAGGGGGACAGACCTTTCAACTATTTATTAAACAGTTCTTAACTCTAAAGACATCGATGCGAATTCTTGGGCCCAGGGGAGCAGTGATGCTCTGGGCAGCCAGGAAGGAGCACGGGGTGGGAGGGAAGTCGACTCTGAAGACTCCCGTGGCACTTACCAGGCAGGTGGGAGGCTGAGGTGGAAGGGGGTAGAAGTGCACGAGGAAAGGCACAGCTTGTTGAGGGGACGTGAGGAGCAGGCTGAGGTGGCCGAGGCTGACAGGGGTCCCGTGTGCCCCTCCCAGGGACTTGAACATCCCCCTCCAGAGGATTTGCTCACCTTTAAGCAAATGTCATGACATGAAAAACTCTTTAAAATGGTCCATCTTCCAGGAATTTGGAAGTGCAGAGTGAGAGGGATTTGACCTCTCTCCAGAAACAGAAGATTCCCACTAATGAGAAGTGGCCACTGTCCAGGGATAGAGGTGGAAAGTCAGTGCCCTGGTTGGAAATATGGAGCGTGAGCTCGTTTCCCCCATCATCTAGGTCACCTTGAGCCTGTCCCAACTTCCACTGCCCGGGGCTGACCATCAGGTGGAGGTGGAGGATTTGGCTGAGGTACCTACCTGCTAACATCCAGCCAATATTCTGAGTCTTTGAGGATGCTCCAGGCAGGGATGACAAATCTACTTGTGTGGCCTCACCCCTCCCTGCACCTGTAGAGAGCACCAGGCTTCAGACTCAGGGTCCTGCTCAACCAGAGCTCTAGCCAACCTTGCCTGCAGGTCTGAGTCAGCCTTGAGGGCAAAACGTCTTTGTCTGCCTACTTCCAAATCAACCAGTCATCCTTACCTGAGGACTGACATCTTACCAAATCATCTATTTTTTTCTCAACACTGCCCCCACAAACACCCTTGTCTTAGAAATGCTACTGCCATGGCTGTTTGTTCTTTTCCTGGCTGAGCAGCCTCCACAGGAAATCTACAGGGACTGGGAGGCTGGCCTGTGGCTTGGGGAAGGCAGCAATGCATGTGCATCCTGTACCTGTGGGCTTTTCTGCCTGCTCACCAGGGTCACGCCCTCCATCCCTCCATGGCTCCTCAGCACTAGCTTCTGATCATGTCCAAGAACTGTTCATATATTTTAACTGCGAATAAATTCACTGAGGCATTTAGGTTAATAAATGAGCCAACCAGAGGTGGAGCTCAAGCATAAAGTTGAGGGAACCCAAGAATCCTCCCCATATTCTATTATCAGACCTGAAGGAACATGCTAGTATATTTTTGTTGTTGCTGCTGTTTTTCAGTACCAGGGACCACATCCCCAGCCCTTTTAATATTTTATTTAGAGACAAGTTCTCACTGAATTGCCTAGGGCTTCACTAAGTTGCTATGGCTGGCTTTGAAATTGCAATCTTTTGGCCTCAGCCTCCCGAGCTGCTGGAATTACAGACGTGCCCCTCTGCACATGGCACTTGTATGTTCTTGAAGGACCTAGAACCAATCAGCATCAATTCCCATGGTGATGTGACCAGAGGGTTGCATCTTTCTGTAGAATGAAGGTGTTGACACTAATGTCACAGAAACCTAGCACTGGATCTTGAGAGAGAAAGCTAAGAGGGAGCTACAGTGTCTTTCAAATGGAAGATTCAGGAAGTATGGGGTTAATGAGAGAGAGGCGCATTGGAATGAATTCTTGTAGGAAAGAAGTTGTTCCTTCTTTCGTTATTGCCTTCTCCTTCCTTTCACAGCCCTCATAGTGTTTCTAACAACTCCTAGAGTCTTGGTCTCCAGCTCTCCAGCAACATTGTCTGTCCAGCAGATGGAGAAGCAGTTTCCTCGGGGTCTAACAGCCACTGAGTCAAATCATAGAGCAACACATGAAATGGAACAAAGGAAATGCAGCCCAGGGTCCCATCCCTGTGCATCTTACTGTAGATTCTATTTCCTGGAGGAACCTAATGTGGAATAAATCTGCACAGGAATCCCCGAGCATGGTGATTGACCCTGAGGACAAAAGCACGTTTGCAGATGGTATTTCCTGAGGTAGAAGCTTGGTGAGGATGTGATGGAAGGTCTCTTTGGAAAATGTCTGCTTTCAGTTTATAAACCTGTCAACGACCAGTAACGTTGTGGATCTCAGATACTGAGAAGGGGTCCAGGGATGTTAACTTTATGTGTCAGCTTGACCAGGCCACAGTCCTAGAATATATGGTCAAACACTAGTCTGGATGTCGCTGGGAAGATATTCTTTGGTGAGACTGACATATAACTCTCCATGGGTGGGCTTCATCCAATCAGTGGAAGGACTTTAAGAGTAAACACTGAGGTCCACCCAAGGAAAAGGGAATTCTGCCCAAACTGTCTGCATCCTCTACACTGAACCACAGCTCTCCCCTGGATCCCCAGCCTGCCCTGCAGATTTTAGACTTGACAGCCTCACAATGCATGAGCCAATTCCACACAACCGTCCTAATTCCCTCTAGTAAGATAGATGGTAGATAGATTGATTGATTGCTTGATAGATAGAAGAATAGATAGATGATAGAGAGAGATGAATGAATAGGAGATAGATACAGATAATATATACAGTAGTATATTGATTAGAGATAGCTGATAGGTGACTAGGAGTGAGAGACTGACAGATCAAGAGATACACACACACACACACACACACACACACACACACACATACACACTATTGCTTCTTTTTCTCTGGAGCGCTCTGACCTGTACAGGAACTGATCAATCAATCAATAATTCCCCAGGCTAAACAGACCAAGTCTGTGGTGTGGCAATCAAGGGAAATGTTTTATGTAGGGCACACTGTTAGGCTCTCCAGGGACTCAAAGGTTTCTTAAAAGCCCAAGTTACATAGCCCAGAAGTAGCCCTGCAATCTGTCAGTCTGGAATGGTTAGAACTTCTCACCTTTTTCTTCAGGCACCCAGATTTTTCTGCCCCTTTCCCTGACCCTTCCCCCACTCTTCCTCACAGTGTGGACTTTGCCTCTCACCAAAGATCAAGGGGAAAGGCATGGATCAAGTGGTGTTTCTGATGTGATGTCTGGATATTAGTTGGAGGAGAATAAGGGGAAAAAAGTGGTTGTTCTATTTCTGAAAGAATGGCCAAAATGATTTCTTTGGACATGAGCCCTGGCATTAAAGTATAATATTGTCACTTGTTATTAGACACAAAAAACAGGCTGTATGTGTGGTTTCAAGCTCTGAGAGCTGCAGTCCTTGTAATTAGTTCATCTCTCCCRGCAATCCAGGGAATTCTTTTGCCTTTGTGGTAAAGAAAGCAATGCCCAGACAGAGCCTGAGGTCTCCCAGTGACTCAGGAAAAATCCGAGAAGAGCC